GGAAGGATCAGTTTTATCTGGGATGATGAAAGAAATGTCAGCAGAGGTGGATTTCTCAAAAAAAAATCATTTATTTATTTATTTTTAGTTTTCAACATTTACTTTTATAATATTTTGAGTTCCAAAATTTCTCCTTTCTCCCCTACCCAAGATGGTGTGCAATCTGATATTGGCTATACATGTTCAATCATATTAAACATATTTCCACATTAATCATTTTGTAAAAGAAGAATCAGAGCAAAGGGGAAAAAGCATGAGAAAGAAAAAAAAAACAACAGAAAATAGTATGCATCTATCTGCATTCAGACTCCATAGTTCTTTCTCTGGATGTGGATAGCATTTTTCTTTTTTTTTCTTTTTTAAAATTTTTTAAAAAATTTTATTTACTTATTTATTTGCTAGGCAATGGGGTTGAGTGACTTGCCCAGGGTCACACAGCTAATATGTGTCTGAGACTGGATTTGAACTCAGGTCCTCCTGAATCCAAGGCCAGTGCTCTATCCACTGCGCCACCTAGCTGCCCCCTGGATAGCATTTTTCATCATGAGCCTTTTGGAGTTGTCTTAGATCATTGCATTGCTGAGAAGAGCTTAGTCTATCTAAGTTGGTCATCAACAATGTGGCTGTTACTGTGTGCAGTGTTCTCCTGGTTCTGCTCACTTCACTCAGCATCAGTTCATTTAAGTCTTTCCAGGTTTTCTGAAATCCACCTGCTGATCATTTCTTATGGAACAGTGGTATTCCATTACATTCATACACTACAACGTGTTCAGACATTCCCCCGTTGATGGGCATCCCCTCAATTTCTGATTCTTGGCCACCACAAAAAGAGCTGTTATAGATATTTTTGTACATGTGGGTCCTTTTCCCATTTTTATGATCTCTTTGGGATACAGACCTAGTAGTAGTATTGCTGGATCAAAGGGTATGCACAGTTTTATAGCCCTTTGGGCTTAGTTCCAAATAGCAGAGCTGGGTTTTGAATGAAAATGATAAAATTCAGTTCAGCAAGCATTTACTGGAAGGGTGTCAACTGGTGGACGTCCAGAAGAAGGCACATTTTGGTCATGGACGAAATAGTGGGACAAAATTAAATTAGGGAACAAATACAGTTCAGCCTGTCAGCAAGCATTTATTGATCACTTACTCCGTTCTAAGCACTGTGCTATGTACTAGGGATGCAAAGAAAGTAAAAAACAACCCCTTTCCTTAAGTATCTCCCATTCTAAAGAGGGAGACAACATGTAACTAGCTTGTGTGTATAAGCTATCCACAGTTTATAGTGTACAAAGGAAGCACCATGACATGAGACTGGGAGGAAGGCACCAGGTCGTGAAGAGCCCTGGAAACCAGGCCAAGGAGTTCATCTTGTATCCTGAAGGCCATGGGTGAAACACTGTGAAGGTTTTGCAAAGATGTGATTGGTCAGACTCATGCATTATTTACTGCGACAGTGGTAAAAAAAAAAAAATGAATTCTGGGGTGGAAAAAAACTAGAAGCAGGGAGAAGAAAGAGTTAGGAGACCATTATAATAATCTAAAAGAAGATCAACATAGGCCCAAACCAGGGTAGTAGCCTCAAGAGTAGGAAGGATTGGAAAAATGGGGAAGGTATTTTAGAGGAAGGAATCTGTTTGTCTCACCAAGGGTTTTCAAGTTGCTTTTATTTAACCCTTTTTCTCCAACTGAGTTCTACCTCATTAGTTTTTCTAATCTATTAGCAACATTTAACAACTTACTGTACATGGGAGTGAGAGAGAGGGAAATTCAAAGATGCCTAAAGTTCCCATCCTAAGAGACTGGAAAAATGATGGTCCCTTCAGCAAAAATGGGAAGGTTATCAAGACGGAGCATGTTTTGCATGTCAGATTTGTTTGGTTTTAGATGTGTCAAGTTTGAAGTATTGGCCAGATATTTAAGTAGAGTTGTACTGCAGGGAGGAGGAAACAAGGGATTAGGGAAGAGATCAGGACTTGACATACAGATTTGAAGGTCTTCTCCAGAGAGGTGACAAACCTTTGTAGTGGATAAAATTTCAGTGGAAAAAGAATACAGAGAAGAGATGCCCACATTAAGGTGATAAAAAGAAGGAAAAGAAACCAGCCATTGATCACATTGTTCAGTGAGATAGGAAGAGGGAGAAAGCAGTGTCATGGAAACCAAGAGAGCAGAAAGAATCAAGAAGTACAAATGGTCCCCAACATCAAATAAATCAAAATGCCGGAACTGAACTGAGTGCTGGTGGTACGAAGAAAAGCAAAAACAATCCCTACCATCAAGGAGCTCCGATCCTAATGAAGAAGACCACATGTAAATAACAAGATACACACAGAATAGATGGGAAAGGATCTCAAAGGGAAGGCACTAGACATTGGAGTGACTAGGAAAATCCTATTGCAGAAGAAGGGATTTGAGCTCAGAAGGAAGCAACAGAGAGGTCAAGGAGAATGAAATTTGAGATGAGACTGTATTTTAAATGTGGCAGGTAAGTCATTGGTTCACTGGTGACCTTTGGAAAGAACAGTTTTCAATAGAATGGTGAGATTGGAAGACTTTATGTGGAAGGTCAGGAAATTGGAGGCATCAAGTGGACACTGTCCATCTTAGACAGTTTAGTAGCAAAATGACCAAGAGACCGAGCAAGAATTATAGCTTGAAGAATGGTGTCTGGGTCAAGGAAGGTTTTTGTTTGTTAGGACAGGAATGATCTGACATGTTTTATGGAAATATTGAAGATGGTGGACAAAGCCAGAAGGACATGACTAATGGGAGTGATTGGCGAGGTGACATAATGAGTAGTACATTGGACTTGGAGTCAGGAAAACCTGAGTTCAAATCCTGCCTCAGACACATAATATCTTTGTGATCCTGTGCAAGTCACTTATCCTCTCCTAGACTCAGGGTCCTCATCTGCAAAATCTGGATGATACTGTCTACTTCACAAAGTTGTTATGAGGATCAAATGAGATAAAATACATAAAGTACTTTGTAAACCTTAAAATGCTATATATAAATGCTGGCTATAATTATAATTATTACATTATTATTAATAGGTCCTAGAAAACATGGGAAGGAGTGGAAAGGGTCACAGGTGGGGATGCTCATCTTACCCTCTCAGACATGAAAATGTGAGTAGAAGACACCAACAGGGAAGTTTTGAGGTTATCGAGGTAGCAAGATGAAGACACTAGAGTGAATCTCCCTGATTACACATTGCAGTAAAAGTTAAGGTCATCTGTTAAAATGGAGTAGAGCAGATGTTGGGGTTGTGCATCTTGAGGTTTAGAACAGCTGCTGTGGGGGATATGACAGGGAGTTAGTAATGCACTTATAATGGACCCTGTCAGCGTTGCTTGGGGACATCCTGGAGTATTGCTGTTCTTCTCTGGAGTAGAAGGGAAGAAAGTAGATAAAGGGAGGCGATCTAAGGTTGGTATTATCAGGTAGAAATCATTAAATCCTTAGAAGACTCAGGATTCAAGGGGGGAGCAAAGATATATCATTGAAATGCCTCACTATAGGTTCAGAACTGTCAAAGGTCAATGGGAGGAAGATCCAGGAAGGCATGCTGAGAACTCACAGCATGTTTAGGAGGTATATGAGGGTGGGAAGACCGCAGGTTGTGGTCAGAGAAGAAAATACTTAAAAAACAAAAAACATGATTTTGGAGATTGAGTCATTTCCTAAATGGTGAGCTCAGTGCAGGGAATAATAATCCTAGTAGATGTTAAAAGGACAGAAATGGAAGTCATAGTGACTGAGCAGGTTAAGGAATTGAGAGACTAAGGGATATTGGGAGGGTCATCATTTTGAACATTAGCACGGACGATGATGGGATAGAAGAAAGAGAAGAAAGTAAGCTGAGTCCTGACATCATTGAGGAAAGTGAGAGAGCATCCTGAAGGTTATGGTAGCGGCAAGCATCAGGAGAAAAAAGATGTAGTGAACTTCAAAGGAGCAGTATTTGTTGAGTAATCATCCTCATCTGCTGTACAGTAACAGATGTGTATTATTGTGGTTAAAATGTGGTTTAGATGTAACACTCAGCAGGCATAAGAGGCCGTCTGTATCCAGTGTTGAGGCTGTATATTTAGTGCGCACACACACACACACACACACACACACACACATTCACTCTCTCTCTCTCTCTCTCTCCCTCTCCCTCTCCCTCTCCCTCTCCCTCTCTCTCTCTCTCCCCCTCCCTCCCTCCCTCCCTCCCTTATAAGTATTGAATAGGCAGCCAGATAGACACATTACAGCTAGAAGCCCTGGGCACATGTGAATACCATTCTTTAATTTGTGGCCACAGCTGCTGTTTGCAGAGATCCTTGCTTTTGGCACCTCTCACTTTTTAACCCTCTGTGGGCTGAAATTCAGTCTTTGTTTCAAAAGAGGCAGCCAATTACTGATTGCTGATGGTGAGGCTGCTCTCTGTGTTGCCGTTGCAGTCCATAATTATGCTACATTGCCAGGGGTTATGATATAGTGAGTCTCGTAGTATTGCTGGTACCTACTCTAACTTGAACTTATTCATGCTACCAAAGAATGGTGCAAGTCTGAAGATGCTAATCTTTACACCAGGAGTTGCCAACCTATGGCACATGTGGTACAAAAGATGACTTTTTTCCGTGGTAGGTGTGGTTGGCATTGGAGATCGCTAAAAAACCTTTCCCCTAAAGCTCTCTTGCTCTCAGGGCTCATTGCTCCTGTCATGTCTGGATGACAGGCAGCTGTCATACTAATTCTATTTCTCCCTTAGGCTCCTCTGGTCTCCACAGATGTTCCCTTTAAAAAGGGTTGAGATGGAGCCTGATGTTTGTGATTGTGAATTCTTGTTTAGACCTGGCCCTCTCTGGAATTCTGTCTGGCCCATCATAGCCAAATGTGGAAACCAGTCCTGGCCATCAGTGTCTTTGGTTACAGGGTCTGATTGAGACAAAATAGAAGGTGAAGGACAAAGGAGAAAAACATGCGGAATTTGCCTCTTTTTTTTTCTCCAGATCTCTTAGAAAAGTCCCGTGTTGTTAAGCAGCCAAGAGGCGAAAGGAACTTCCACATTTTCTATCAGCTCCTGTCGGGAGCCTCGGAAGATCTGCTTAGTAAGTATTTGTCTTGCTAGTGAAGCTGCCACAGTTAGCAGTCACCTTGAGAGTGTCCATGATTTCCACCCACTTTCTTATTTCCCTTGAGTTTTCATATGCAGAGGAGGCCTGCGGCTTTTCAAGTGGGCCCACTTTGTTGCCATTGAGTTACTGTTAGGTGGAAGACGTGATAGAATGAGTGAAGGAGGCATGGTGGAAGGGAGTTGAACCCAAGCACCTTATCGATGATGCATGTTTGTGTTTGTGACCCATTAGATAAACTCAAACTGGAGCGGGATTTCAGCAGATATAACTACTTGAGCCTGGACTCTGCCAAAGTGAACGGAGTGGACGATGCAGCAAATTTCAGAACAGTTAGGGTAAGTACTCCTATCTATAATGACAGATATCCCAACTCCGCATCTCTGGAACTGACTTCAGTGGTGGCTATGGAAAACCCAGATTGTTTTGTAAGATATAAACTTCTAGGGTGGTAAGTTGTTGTAAGAATGCTTCAGCTTTTTAAAAAAAAATTATTTATTTTTGTCTAAATTGATGATTTCATTATGTGATGATGGAAATGGTGAAATCCCGCCTCCACCTATGCAAGTTAGCAGCTCCTCTATAACTTAGAGTTTTAAAGAGCTGCCTGGGGAACTGAGAAGTTAAGGAACTTGTTACAGTCGTTCATATAGATTTTGTCAGAGGCTAGACTCGAACTCTGGGCTTCTTGATTTCAAGTCTTTTCCTGTATCCACTGCCATACTGCCCCCCACCCTTTTTTGCTTTATTTACTCAAATTAATTCCATGCCATAAGAGTGGCATTTCAATAGCATTATCACTATAAAAAAGGAGTAAGACATTTCCTTCTTAAATTACCCTGAGGTTCTGGTCTTTGAGAACTACTGAGCATTGAATCATAGGCTTAGTTATCAAATTTAGAACTGGAAGGGACCGTTAAGCCTATAGAATCCAAGCCCATGGTCTTATAGATGAAATTAAGGTAGAGAGAGGTTAACTGAATTACTTAGGTGTCTGGGGCAGAAATTGAACCCAAAATTTGTTGGACTCAAAAGTCCAACACTTTCTACTATGCTTTAGTTCCATATGTTTTCACAGTCCAAATTGAGTGCTTCATTTCCAAGGGAGGGTATATGAGACAGATTTTATGAAGGTAGAAATGAAAAGAGTTGGCAACAGATTGGATATGGAAGTGGGGTGTCGAAGAGTGTGTAATGGAGGATGATACCTCTGTTGTGAGTGATTGGGAGCATGATGGTGCTCTCATCAGGAATAGAGAAGTTTGGAAAGTTCATATTTTTCCATTGCATTTGCCCCTAATGTGTATTTCTTTTCTGAAATGACTTTTAAAAACATTTCTCTTTAGTTAACAAAAATCACATGCTTCCTTTTCCCAGAATGCCATGCAGATCGTGGGCTTTATGGATCATGAAGCCCAGTCTGTGTTGGAAGTAATAGCAGCAGTGTTAAAACTGGGGAACATTGAGTTCAAGCCTGAATCTCGAGTGAATGGCTTAGATGAAAGCAAAATCAAAGATAAAAATGGTAAGTCAGTAACTTTTGTGTTGCAAGTTTGCTTTGAACTTCTGCCCAGTTTTAAGTCTCAGACATGCAGTTTACCTATATTTTTTGGTAGCTCCATCTGAACATTAGTTCACCTGGTATTTAAGCTGCACCTAAATGTAATCCAAAGGAAATTCTGAGCATATATGAATGCTTGGAAAAAAGTCAGTTGGAATGAATTGGTAGTAGAAGCTGATGGAGAAAGCAGTTAAAATTTTTATGATGATTTCTTCGAGTGTGTTATGCAATATACAGAGTCACATTCTGGGTTTTTGTTTGTTTAATTTAGTTTTTTTTTTCTCCACAGAGCTGAAGGAAATTTGTGAGTTGACGGGCATTGATCAGTCAGTCCTAGAAAGGGCATTCAGCTTCCGAACAGTTGAAGCCAAACAGGAGAAAGTTTCGACAACACTAAACGTGGCTCAGGTAAAATCCCAAATCCCAACTGAATTCCCTTGTTGTCTAAGTAAGGAGAGTGGTTTTGCTGCCTTTTTTAACTTCAATTTTCGTGAACATGGTGGACATGTGTGTCCAACGGCAAAGACAGTCCAATATAGTAGTCTCCATAGCCTTTATATATGGTGTCAGTTTTATTTATGTGTTTGTTTAAACAAAACCTTATTTAAATCAGCTTTGCATTTCATTTTTTTCCTTGCTTAATCAGACCAAGAACTGTAAGCATGGTGACTTTAGTTTTCTCTTACAAAAAGGATGTTAAAACGAATGTTTCCTTTATGTGCTGCTGAGCTGTTCTTTCGTAGTGGCACTACTAACTGCATATTTCAGTGGTTTTTTTCTTTCTTTTTAGCAGTGGTAGCAATAATACTGATAATGATATCCTGTGCTTGTAGAACACTTTTTGTGTTTCAAAGTGCATTCACATGCATGATATAATTTGATCTTCATTGTGTTCAAAATAGGGAGTATAGGTATTCTTAGCCCCAATTTAAAAATGAAGGAAACAAAGATAGAGGTTGCGTCTCTTGCTCAGTTTCTCACTAGCCAGCAGACTAGAGCAGAGCAGAGCTAGACCCAGGGTTTCCTATCTCACCATTACTGCACATTGCATTTGCTTAGTCTTCGTATATGCTTTAGTCCTTCAGAATAGTGGAATGCAGGGTGGGGTTCAGCTGCTTGCCTCCGTGGGTCAGTCTTCTGCGTACTTTCCTGTCATATACCTGGAGTAAAGGTAGATTCAGATCATAAGCTGCGTACACATCTATATTCCTCACAGGATAAATACTCCTTTTTAGACCCCCGCAAAAAATACATGCTGAGGTTTTGTACATTGTATAAATTAGGGGAGAGTCTTATCTAGCAACCCCCAAGAAATGTCAACAATGTATTTTCCATTAAAAAAAAGGTTGGCTATTTCTCGTTTTAGAAGAATTATTTTTTATTGTAGTTTATACTGTGTTTCTTACTAGGTGAATTAAGCTTGTAGTCACCTTTTTCTTATAGGATCATGAAGTTAGAGCTTGAAGGAACATTTTCCCTCCTTATTTCTGATATGAAATAGTTGATAGAATCATAGGCTTAGAATGGAAAGGTAGCTCAGTATTCAGCCAGACCAGCCTTCTTCCCAAAACACGTTTTTTTTTTTTTTTTGGTCTGTAGCGTCTCTAGCTTTGTTTGAAAAAATCAAGTATAGTGATAGGTTTTTTAAAAAATGTGTAATGAGTGTTAAAAAAAATTGTTTCTACCAATCCTTTTATGTCAAGTGGAGGGTTTCTTCTCCCTCCCTTTCCAGTGAGTAAGGAGTTGAATTTATTAACTTTTCCTCATAGCTTACATTCTTCCAAACTACTATCATTTTTTAATGCCCCATGGCTTTCACTCCCTGAAGTATTCAGATCTTTTCTTTGATATGGTGACTCATACGGAATTAGAATTTCAAACATTAGATGGTATTGAGCAATACTCCAGCTCACTCTGGCAGGCTCTCAAGGCTAGAACCTTGAGGCTCTCCAAGATAATTTCCCACCTTTTCCCAATAAGGACCCTCTACTCAATATTTCCTGGTTGATGCTCCAGACCCCAGTAGATAAATGGACTTTTCCTTTCTCAGACTTCCTCTTTTTCCTCCTTGCCATACTCTCTCCATCCCAAGTCTGTAACCTGTCTGCCAATCAAAAGCAGCAAACATGCTCTGTTTAACACAAAAACTGATAATAAAATCCTCCTGCCTAACACTGGTTTAAGGAAAGCAATGATGGCACCATAGGAAGCATTTAACTGAGTTTGTGTGTGTGTGTGTATGTATACACACACACACACATACAAACACTCACACATTTATACGTGAAACAGAAAATAGGAGACCCAAATAAGTTGGAAACTTTCCTACAGATAACTCCTCAAACATACTGCCCCAAAGCTCTTTTCTCCCAGTTTTCACTTTCTTAAAATATCTTTACCCTTTACTTTTTTATGTAGTTTCCTTTATTCCTGTTATATACTCAGTGTTCTCAACGTATATCACCTTAGGTCTCAGATTCTATAGCCCTGTACCTTAACATGACTGAACTTTCTCCTGTGAAGACCCCGTTCTGATTCTGACAGTTGTGTCTTACAAGGCCCATTCTGTTTGGCCTTGATTGAATAATCAGGCTTGATGACTTTTAAAGGCACTTTTGTACCTATTCTCCCAACAACAGTGAAAGATAGGCAAGGTAGATATTAGCCCCGTTTTCCTGATACTGTTCAAAGAAAGCAGTTAGCATGGCACATGTGAATGCTGGTGGGGTGACTGACTTGACTAGAGGTCTGGAGTGTCAACCAGGAAATAGTGAGGTCAATAGTACAATGAGTACTTCCAGGTTACCCCACTGGAATATCAATTTGCCATAGGTAGGTCACCCATTTGGTGTGTATGACAGACGACAGAATTGTTCTAACATGGCAGAAGAGTTCCAATACTTTTTACATAGGCTGCTTTCTTTCCTTATCTTAGACACTTAATAAATGTTTATTGATCATTTGATTGATCTGCTATCCAGGTTTTCTCAGCTGCAGAGTATAGATTTCTTTTGTAGAAGTGTCTTGTGTATTTTAGGGGACTTGTAAAACTTTAAACTGTAGAGAATAAGGAAAGTGAATACCTATAAAATAGGCCTGATTTTCATTTTTTCTATTATTGACCTTTGAAATTTAGTAATAATAGCAACAATAGTAATAATATTTATAATGCTGTAAGATTTGCAGAGTGCTGTATGTGTTGTGTCATTTTAGTGTCGCACCAAACCTGTGATGTAGGTGTTATAGAAACAAAGGCTGAGAAATTCTGTGACTTGCCTGGGGTCACAGAGCTAGTCAGTGTCTTAGGCAGGATTTGAACTCAGGTCTTCCTGACTCCAAGTCCAGTGCTCTAATCCGTAGGACTACCTTCCTTCCTAATCTTAGCATTAAAACTGTGAACAGTAGTAAAGGCTTGTTTTAACAAAGAAACCAAACCAAGACTCTTATGAGTTTAGGAGATAGTCTTCAGGTAGAAGGTAGGAAACTTATAGGAATCTGTGGTCAGTTCCTAAAAAAGTTCAGCAAAGAAAAGTATAATTGAAATTCCTTTAAAACATTTCTAGTGGGCATGTGTGAATATGTGTTTGTTTTACTTATTGTTTATTCATTTTTTCTTTCTCCACTGCAGTTTTCTTCTCTTCCTGTTTTCTTTTGATTTTGTTTTTTTTTGTGAATAGAGTCTGATCCTCTGAAGAAAGCTTTGTCTGACCTTTGATGCATCTACTTCCTTTTTTATGGGCCCGGAAGGATTTCTGTATATAATTAATATATAGTGCATTACACAGTAACATATATAAATGTTAGCCATTTTTATTATTTCAACATTTTAAAGGGTTTTAGGACCTAGGTTGAGGTCAGGTCCAGGCAGTCTACCTTCTCTTTTTGTAGCTGCTACTAAACAATTCATTCATCTAGCAAGCATTTATTAAGTGCCTACTGTGTTCTAGTCACTGGGGTAGGCACAGGAAATACAAAGTGGAAAAAAGCTGGAACCCCTGACTGCAGGGGGCTTACATTCTATCTGGGGAAACCAACATGAACACAGATAAATAAAATCAAACTATGTACAAAGTAAATTTAAAATAAATTTTTTGGGGAAGGCACTGGAGATTGGAGAATTGGAGGGGCATCAGGATGGGTTTCCTACAGGAGCTGTTACTTCAGCTGAGGATTGTCTGAGGAAGGGGTGAGAAAGAATGGAGTACTTTCCAGGCTCAGAGGGTGACATGGGCAAGGAATTTAAAATGGCCTCTACAGAGACTATTATGCAGACTGGCTTGACTAGAATGTAACTTACATGAAGGTAAGTAAATGTGCGATCAGCCTAAAAAGATAGAATGGAGATTGTGAATGGATTTTTAAAGCCAAATGGAAAAGTCTTTATACTTTGTGCTAAAGTGGATGGTTCTTAATCTTTTTTCCTGTTATGGACCCCTTTGTCAGTCTGGTGAAGCCTACAGGCCTCTTCTTTGAATCGTGTTTTAAAATAATTGATGGAAAGCATGTGTGTGTGTGTGTGTGTGTGTGTGTTTATTCCTGTCCAAGAATGTGGATTCCCTGAAATCCATCCGTGGACCCCAGGTAAAGAGGCAAGAAAAATCTATCCATGGACCTCTTTCTAGGGGTGAAAAAGAAATACTAAATTTCTTTAGCAAAGGATGAAATGGTCATACTTGTGCTTTAAGAATATTATTTTGGTACCTGTGTGGAGAATGGATTAGAGAAGAGAGACTGGAGACGGAGAAAGGAATTAAGAGGCTGGATCAGGCTAGAGGTAATAAAGGCCTGAACTAGGGCAGTTGTGTTAGGTATTGAGAGACACTGTGGAGGTAGAAGAGACAGCAGGGTAGCTTAGTGGTTAGAATGCAAGGCTTGGAGTCAGGAAGACCTGAGTTTAAATCTTTTCTCAAATACTTAACAGCTGTGGCAACTGGGTAAGTCACTTAACCTCTCCCACACTCAGTTTCCTTATTTGTAAAATGGGAATAATTATAGTACAGGGTTCTTGTGAGAATCAAATGAGATAATATATGTAAAATGCTTTTCTAACCTTGAGATGTTAAATAAAGGTTTGCTGCTGCAGCTAAGACATGACATTTGACTAGGTTTAGGCAGGCAAGGAAGAGTAATTAGTAGCCTCTTATAGTAGAGTCACATAGCAATTAGAGTTTTTCAGGTATCGATAACTGAGAAAAACAGGGACATCCTATAATGTTTACTTATGGTTTTTGTGAAATAAAATAATCTTTAAAAATTTAAGCAACATAAATTAGTCAAGTTCATTTCTTACTTAATAACTATGAAGTACTTGTACCCCTGGAAAGTGTTATAGAAATAAAAATTTCCAGGGACAAATGTTGTACCTCGTTGCTGAGATAAACTCTGATTGTCCCTCTCTTTACATATGTGTGCATTGGCTTCTGACCTTTTTTCCAAGTTCTGTTCTGAAAGATCTTACTGTTCTAACAGATCCTGTTTGTTGGTGTTACTGCTGGGGTCTTTTAGCATCACTTTAATTCCAATAGCTTAGCATATATTTAGCTCCTAGTTAGAATACAGGTATTTTTAAATACCTGGTTAGTTCTTCTCTGCTCATCATAATGAGCACTAAAGACAAACAAGGTCTAGTTTTTCCTGCCGTTAGCCTAACCAAAGTTCTAGGATGCAGGACATGGTGGTTGTTGCTTGCCTGCTTCCTATCTTCCTGTTACATCTGAATTGTGTTCTTGAGCAATTGCTCATTCCTTCACTAAGGATCTCTGCATGCATCTGGAAGGAAATAAAAATCTTTTTAAAGGGGCCAGATTCCTTCTGCCTAGTTTTAAACAGTTAAACATGTTTTCTCATAATGCCTATGAAAGTAGTGATTGTAGTAATTGTACATGTGTATTTTTAATAGGCTTATTATGCCCGAGATGCCCTGGCTAAGAACCTTTATAGCAGATTGTTCTCCTGGCTGGTGAATCGAATCAATGAAAGCATCAAGGTAATAACTGTGTTTGAACATAAATAAATCTCTTGTTATAACAATGGAAACTTTAAGGTACCAGTGGATTAAATATTACTAATTACAACTTAAGTAAATTAAACATAATATTTTCTTAGGTAATCAGCATTTAAAAAAATAGTTTTATGGAGATTAGTTTAAAGGAGACTTGATTGGCATATGAATGAAAACATTTATTAAACACTTGCTATGTACTAGTCACAGTTTCAGTAAATAGCTAAAATACTCCAGTCCTCCTTTGCTTTTTATTTTTTGTATTTCAATATCAAAATATTTTAAAATAGCGATTATTAACCATTATGTTAAAATGTCTCAGTAGAAATAAGCAATTAGTAAAAGAAGCAATGGACTGAATGGGTTTTAGAAAACTTGGATTCTTGCCCTTCCTGCTGCTAACCAGCTCTGTGACCTTTAGCAAATCACTTAGCTCATTTGTACTTTTATCAGTAAAATAAAGAGGGGAGGGAGTTTTATTCTGAGCCAAGAGTAGGAAAAAGCACAAGAAACTGCCAGCTGCCTAGAGCACAGCAGGTAGAGAGATGAGTGTAACAAGCTCCACATTTTATTATAATATAATGCATGTTTTTTTTAGTGCTAGAAAGGTCTGCTCTCCATGGCACATAGGAGGAATTTATCTTGTAAGTCTTAAATTGCAGTGAAGGCTTAACATCTGTGATATATAGTAACATGAGGCACATGATTTTAAAACCTTTCATTGAACATGCAGATGTGTTGTTATATATCTCTTGTTTGGAGCCAGGAGCCTAAGAGACTCTTCTAGCTCTAAAGTGCTATAAATCTTTAAATTAAGGACTTTTATGTCACATGGACTGAACTTACCTACCAATAAAATTTCTGGAAGAATCATTGCTGATTTATAATCTTTTTCATACACTTAATAAATTAAGCTCACATCCTTCATTATTGTTGTATTCTTTGTAAAGAAAACCATGGGGTAATGAATTCATGTGATTTGTCCCTAGACCTCATTTTGCTTTGTTAATTTTATGGTAATGATTTATTTCAGGCTGAAATTATAACTCTTGTTTCTTACTTAAGGCACAAACAAAAGTGAGAAAGAAGGTTATGGGAGTTTTGGATATTTACGGCTTTGAGATTTTTGAGGTAAGTTGGCTGAGAGTTAAATTATTTGAGGGTAAATTTAGACTATCCCTTAGTGTCCATTAGCCTCAGGTCTGAGTATACCATGAGCTTCATGCAGATTTAGTTAGGATTTTCCTAAAGTTAAGCAACACCATGTTGAATGCAATGCTGTTCTTAAACAATTCATTCTTAGAATAGCAAGTAAATTTTAAAAGCACAGATTCAAACTTTGTACTGTGATCCTGCACCTACAGAGTACCTAGATATTTATAGCATGCTAGTGTGTGTATTCATTTCTATAATTCATGGGAGAAGAAGGCAGTATGGGCCTATGGAAAGAACACTAGCTTGAAAAGTAGGCCTAGATTTTAGTCCAGATCCTGCCATTAACAAGTTATGTGCCCTAGAGAAAGTCATCTAATGCCTCTGAGACTCCGTTGCTGCATCTATTAAAAAAAAAATGGGTTGTGTCATCTCTAAGATCCCTTCTTATAGACATGATTCTATAACCTGAGTTATGCTGTGAAGGCTGAAATGATTTCTCCTGTATGTATTAATATTCATCACTGACGAATAGACCATTATATTAAATGGTCTATTCCATTATATGTGGAAAATATGACAGTGCATGACACTATCGCCTGCTTGTTCATACACAATTCAACATTGATAATGCAATAGTAAGTATTATAATTCAGTGTTATGTGACTAAATGTTAATAATTTGCATGTAGATATGGGACAGCTAATTAAAGTCTAAGAACTCGTATGTTCCTTGTTTAAAAAGGAGGGAGGATTGGAGTCTGTGTGTCCCTCAGCGTCTCCTATAACTTAAAAATAACCTTTTTTTCCCATGGATTTGCCAATTCTTACAATTGTTTAAGCCCTGCACAGGTTCAGCAAAGATCTTTCAGAGTAGATGTTCTGTATGTATTGATCACTAGAACCATAGAACAATCTGGAATATTGGAAATGTCAGGGCACTTCAGCCTAATACTTGTCTGAAAGGATTTGTAAGGGACTTGTTGCATAGCAGGGATCCTCCTCTAAGAGTGAGATGGTTTATTGTATCCCCTACATCAGGCTACACATATGCGCGCGCGCACACACACACACACACACACACACACACACTCTTTCTTTTACCTGTCAGGAATTAAAACCAATATTAATGCCTCACTTCTCTCCTCTCACTGTCCATGCCCCTAAGTAAAGTTTGAAAGTGCTCCTGCTATCACTTCCCAGGAGTGAGAAAGCATTCTCCTAGACTGGTACCTAGAACCTACCCACTGGTGATGCTGTGTGTTGTGGTCCTGGCTTGGGGCCAGCCACCACAAGATCATTCTTAGACTGCTTGCCATCTCATGTCCTGGGTCGGTCACTTTGTCCAGACCTCCCTCTTCTCATTTGTAAAGTGAGTAAGTTGACCTAAATCATCTCTATGATCTCTTCTAACTCTGGAATTTTTGATCCAGTAAGGTTGGAAGAGCACCAGGGGTATGCTGGAGCCAACTCATATCAGCAGCCAATTGTTAAATTTTCAGTGTGAGCATTTATACCTCATAAATCAGCAAATAATACAAATCAGGGCTTGATTTATTGTTTTGTTGAATATCTAGACCTAAGGAAGTGATGGAGAAAATGTTCATCATGCAGATTAAACTTAAGTAAGTCATGCATATATTTTTCCCATGGGGAGCCAGTTGTTAAACATTTACCAGTCCGCTCCTATATAGCCTATGGAAGATGAAGTACTTCAGAATAATCCCTCTTTAAGTTAAGAGATCTATCATCCATTAGCAGACCTTTTCATTGCAAAGGACAGTACAGCAATTCAATTCAAGAAACAATTACTATCGTTCACATCGTATCAGTAAAGGATTACAGATGCAGAGTTTTTTTCTGCATCAGTCTCCCCAGCAAAGCCTTGTACAGAACGTGGCCCTTTTCTAGCAAGACTTTGCCTCACTCCCACTAATGGAAAGAATGAGAGAGGCATTATGTTTCATAGTTGGCAGAGATAGAATTGGTCTGCCTGGCATACAGCTTTTCTGAATTTCGACATTTTTGATAACAGGGCAGATGGTGAACAGAGCTCTCACTTGAAGGAAGTTTAAAAAAAAAAAAAGGACATGCTTCCTGATGTTTTGAAAAACAAGGAAACTGGAAGAAATTTTCTTTGCTGTCTCAGCACAGTATCTCTTAGATGATTTCTAAAATCCCTTCCAACTCTGGATTCTGTGACCTATATTCTAAACTAGCCCAAATTTAATTAGAATTAGTTGGGGAGAATTTTCTTGGAACACCCTAGCATATAGCTTCATAATGGACCCATTATGGTCTTTCACTTAAATTTTGGTTGAATTGATTTTGTGTCTATATCTAGTAAAACACAACTTCTTAGGGAGAAATATAAGGGCTTTAACCCATCCTTACCTGTGTTCTCAGCTCCTTGACTGTGCCTAGCACAAAGTAGGCACTGAGTGAAGGTTTTTGAGTGATTGTTTTGAGGTCCAGGAGAATTCTTTTAAGTGAAAATGTGATAGTTTCATTCCTATCAAACTGAACTTTACCTTTTTATTTACATTGTTGGGGGTAACTTTGACTTTGAGAAGAACCAGGAGTAAGGATGAAGTCTGCTCATTTTGCTATTTGGAATTGGAAGAAGAGATCTCTTTTTCCAAGGAGAGATTTCGTTTGTTCCAGAACAGTGGTCTGGGGCTCAATTTCATGACAGAATTAATGCTTCAAATTCTATTATAATAAGAGGGTGATGGAATAAGAAAAGTTTAAGCTCTGCCTCTAACAGGCTTAACTACTGAAACCGAGACTGCTTTATATCTCTAGAGGCCAGTTTATTCATTTGTGGTAGGAGACAAATATATAGCTCAATATCCTAGTGGTTTGTTGATCTTATGATGTGGATATTCTTCCAGTGACACAGCTTTGACACTAAGGGTTGCCAGTGGAACAAACAGGCAATCATCTAGGCAGTGTAGACTTGGCATCTGGAAGATTTGAGTTCAAATCCTGCTTCAGACACTTCCTAGCTGTGTGACTACTGGGCAAACTTAATAAGCTCTGACTCAGTTTCCAAAAATGAGGATGATAATTATAGCACCTCTCAGAGTTGCTCTGAGGATAAAATGAAATGATATGTGTACAATACTATATAAATGCTAGCCATTCTTATTTTTTTATTTTAATTATCATCCCTTTTGTTATGTGAACTCTCCCCCACCCCCTTTTTTTCTGGTCATATATTTCTTTGATGACATCCTTCATATCAATTCTCCTGTAATTCCTTGTTTATAATGTGTTGCAATCTAATCACACCCATCACATGCTTCCCCCATTGTGCTTTGGGTGACCCTCAACTTTCCTTCTTTGGGGACTGTAATTTTATGTAACTGGCAGCCATCCAGTATCTAGGCATTTATTAAATACCTACTATTTGCCAAGCATTGTGATAACCTTTGGGAAGATACACGTTTTAGATAAAAACACCAGTTCTTTAGAAGCTTGTAGTCTGGGAAGGGCTATCTCTACAGATAATTATTACATGATAAATCCATTAAAGGTCTTGGAGGAAGGTTATTACCAACAGGAGGGATCAGATAAACTTATCTGGATACTTGAGGATTGGGCTTAATTGCCTGTATTAGTTGGGTGGTCCCACTCTAGGAGCTCAAAAAAACCTTCCTTATCTGAAGGTTGTAGCAGCTGAAGTTAGATATGTTTCTGGGATATTCTCATCCAGTTATCTGGTGACATCCTCCTCTCTGCTTCAGGGATATTTCTGTTCTGAGAACCCTGGTGTAGGCGAAGAAACATTGCATCTGGAGTCTGACGACCTGGGTTTAGCTCCTGGTGCTGCTACATGATGACTACCCAAGTGACCTTGGGAAAGTCACTGAACCTGTATGGGTCTCACTTCCCTCATCTGCAGAATGGGGTTAGGGGAGGCTTGGACTAGATGGTATTTAAGGTATGTTCTTACTCTAACTGTGTGATCCTGGGAACCAGTGTTCTGATTAGATGTAGAAACATGGTTTTTTTTTTTTTTCTCCACCTGGGGCCCTCATTTTCAGGACCTTAAGCTGCCATTTTAGACCTTCTGATGATGTCACCCTTTTCTCAGGCCTCTAAGTATTGTTGACTGTTAGTAAATGGGCCTGGGGGTTAGCCAGTCACGTGACTCTTCTTAACTACCTCAGGCGAAATCCCAGCCCAGAAAACACTAACAGGGCATGCATATGGGACTCTTTACAAAGACAAACCCTTAGTTTACTTATACTGCATTTCTAAAGGCTTCGCTCATACTTCTCTGGAATGACCTCCCCTCCACACTAATCTATCCTCAGTGAGTGTGAATTCCTTCCATTTTAGACCAAAAGACATACCCTTTCCCAACATCCACAGGCTCTGCGTGTGTATATGTACATATGTGTGTGTACATATACATACATACATATACACATATATGTGTATATATTTTTAAAGGACCAAATTTGATTCTTCTGATCATAACTATGAGCTAAGGCTAAAAGCCATATTGTTTACATAAAGCTCTTTAAAGAGCATAAGGTCGATAAAGTTAATTGTCTTTGTCTGAACTGACTTCTCTGCTTGTCTTTTCTTTTTGTTCTTTGATAAAAATAAAAATGTAAGTTTTTATAGTTGATTTTTCTGTGATTTGCCCTTTTTATGCCCCTCAAATTAATCCTTCAGATATCCTAGTGCTCAGTAATGGGGAGGTTGGGAGGGAGGGTCATCTGATTTCCTTTCAGGAAGTCCCAAGACAGATTGGTCTTGTTTCTTTCATCTTTTCTTTGAAATAGAAGTAGAGAATTTTTTTCATCTGTTCCACGTTTGTCTGCAGCCCCTACTAGCACCCTGGGCTCTTACATAGTGAAAAACTAGGAAACTTATAAAACTGAGTGAAGTAATTGAAAATCAGGAGGGGACGGGGAAAGGAATAAGCATTTATTAAGCACCTGCTGTGTGCCAGGCACTGTGCCA